TGCGGGCAAAACCTTGATATCATGTAGACTCAACTAGACGCAGCCCACAAACCTGATTGGCTACCCTGGGGTTAGGGAATGTTATATTAAAGAACTCCAGGGCTGGGTAACCCTAAATTTTAGGCACCACATAATACTTTTTAAGATTATTTTGTATATTGACGCATACACCTTACAATTTAACTTGTTAGCCGCTTAGCGTAAACTGACAAGAAAATAATAATCAATCAAATCTGCTCGCTAAAAATCACAAATCACGGAATTATAACATAAGGCTAGTGAAGTTTTATAAACGTACGGGTTTCAAAGAAAGACGGGAACACGGTTTTCATTACAAAGAATATAATTTCACTAGGTACAATACACAATACATTTACTTTCATTATTGACTTATACACTATATGTAAGAATATACGTTAAGGATAACATATAAATATATACATTTATGATACCATATGTAAGGATACACATTAATGATACCATATGATATCCATTATATCAGTAAACATGATGGCGTTATTTAAATCCTCGTGTATGTAAGACCAAGGGAACCAGTTTCAGCCGAACACGTGTACTTTAAGTCTAGATTTCTAATTTGTTGACGACCCATGTTTGTCAACAGAGACCTATGACGTCCTGGAGGAGACTTCTGATTCCCCGGGACTGGCCAGTTCGCCGGAAGAGAAAGCTACTGTTTAGTCTGGTCCTGGGGGGTTAATTTGCCGCCATTACTTGACCATATATGTCAGTAGCATCCGGTCTTTTCCCCCCTTTCTTAGAGCCAGCGGAGTTAAGATTGTGATCAATTCCGGTGTCTGTTATTTACGATTTGCTTATTTTTAACGGTCCGTTGTTTGTTTATCGTTTTCTGTTTGTTTACGGTTAGCTGTTTTTTAACGAAACAATATTACTACGGGTCACTCGTGTAATATCTAATATGGATAGTGTTGTAAAAATGATACATCAAAAGTACAGAAAATATCATGAACGGAAAACAATCGGCTATTTTGAGACTTATTGACCTAATGAGAAAGATCCCAGATGAGGGGGCGTGGCCAGGAAGTAGAGAGCTCCACTAACCCGGAAGTCTAGATTTCAAAAACGTGGGCTCGAGTCTGTGTATCGTCGCTGTGTCCACCCGGTCTGATGTGAACCACATTAGGGAAGGTAAAGAAGGGTGGGCATGGTGCTGAACACACTAGCCCTTCATACGCAGGGGTCATCGTAAAAGATGAGCTATACTTGATAATCCTCCGCAAGATTTAATAGGGTAATTTTATGAATGTTTAAAAAATTTTTTCTTTCTTAAAATGGAATATAAAAGATTGCGTTAAATAAGATAAGTCTCTTAGAAAACAGAAATCAATGCGCATGCGTGCACGTGACGACAGGAAATAATAGCCCGTTGTATGGAAGCTAACTAAGTTCGTATTTTCAATCCGGCAATTTTTCATAACACAACCTGGCATCTTGTAGCTCTTCACGTGACACACATCGTTACAAAAACCTGGCCAGGTGTCGCCTACCATTTTACTCCAACAGCTGTAGAGCTTCTAGGCTTTGGCAGATATTTCTGCACTCAATAATGACGTCATTCTAGACTAAATCTTTGATGTTTTCATACAAAACCCCTGATGTCAAGTTATAGGGTTGACTTTTTTCTTCTTCATTCTAGAAACACATTCTTGTACATTTTTAAGGTAAAGCCTCCCAATGAATTAATTAGCATACAAACAGAATCTGGCTAATTATTTCAACACGCAATTACATCTCATTTTGGATGCTAAAAACGTTTTTATAATGATATGCTCAGAAAAAAAAATCAGCAACGAATGTTGAAGTTGGTCGACATAATCAACGCACGTACAACGAGATCTCGTGACCCTTTGTGAACCAGATTTATCGTTAAAGTTAACGATTTACAAGAAATATATGCTCAAACCACAAAATAAAATTACATTTGCGAATAATAATAAAAAAAAATCTGAAAAGATAATTCTATTTTGTATTTTAAAGACGCAGGCCTCTAATTTGAATTTAAAAAACACAGGACTCCACAATGCGCTGTTTTCCATTACTAGCCATCGCGTCATTTTAATTTTAAAATAGAAAACATTCGATATACATAGATTGAGACACGACCTGTCTTGAAAAGATGGAATAATTGAAAGCAAAAACCTCCAGCACATTATCATTCTTAGATTCACATCTATTTCAACTTCAATCGCTGGAGAGCGATGTTGGCTAGAAATGGGTTCATTCAGCCTCGCGGCGTCGGCCTGTACGCCATCAAGTGATGAAGGTTGCCATTCATAGGCTAATACATTCCTTTAACCGGGTCTAGGGCGGGGAGTGACGTAATACATTGCCGTTTGGGTGCTGACTACAGGAGAAATTCGTCATTTGAGGGTACTAGATCAAGGTTGACTACAATATTACTCAAGCTGGGTCAACAGTCGTACAGAAATGTGACCAATAGTCGTACACAAATTATGGCCAATATTCGTCAACAAATGATGGCCCGTCCAGAATCAATGGCCAAAGTAGTCAAAATATGGTGGTCAATAGTGATCCAAAAATTATGGCTGACATTTGTCTTGAAATGATGGTTACCACTTGTCTTAAACAAAAGTCAATAGTTGTAAATAAATATTTGGCCTTTAGTTGTATAAAGCACGACAAATTGTAGTTCGCAAAAGATGGCTTTTAGTCGTAGGATAAGACCGCCATTAAAAGAACAAAAAATGCTTTTAGTTTTATCTTTTGCTAACCTTTCATTAAGATTTAAGCTGTAATTTGCTTCTATTGTTTAAATTAGCCGAGATTCTAGCCAAAGCCTGAGGCGAATTAATTTCGTTTTAGTATCGGTCATTAGCACTGAGGTTAGTTAGTACCACCAAAACAGGAAGTTCGAAACTGAAAGAAAATTCTATGGTACAATTTGTATCCAAAATTACATACATTATGTATACTTTGAAATGTGTTCGACACTATAAACATTTAAGAATTCGATATGTAAATTCTTGCTTTCTTTCATACTCAGGAAATGCTATCTATTCTTCAGATCGGGTATTTTGTAAGTTTAGCACCTCCGTTGTTGAGACCCTCTGGTCCTTAACTGAATGTTTTATTGTTTAAAATACCCACATACATATCTCAAGCAAATTAATGTCATCAAAACTTTCTGCTGGACTCAGATTATCAATTGGTCAATTATCTAGCGAATTATTTAGTTGGTTCATAATTTCTACTGGATTAAGTTTATTAATAATTACTGCTGGATTTAGTTTACCAATACTTTCTGTTTGGTCTAGTGTATCAATACGTTCTGCTGTATTTAACGTATCAATACTTTCTGCTGGATTTAGTTTATCACAACTTTCTGCTGTTTCTAAACGAATCAATAAAGTACCAACAGATCACCTAGGGGGAAATAATTACAAGATCCCGATAAACAACACACGGTTCTCTTTGAAGTTTTCACAACGTCGTTCCTTATTTCCGGTCGGCAGACGCCATGTTGTCTTTGCCTTGCCGGATTAATGGCTGCTGTTGACGATAAACGTAAAACCCCTCACCGTGCCATTCGTTTGCTTAATATACATTCAGAAAAATACGTAGGCACAGAAATAGCAGATGACGTCATCGTACGATGTTGTAATTTGTCACCAGTTTTGTACCAACAATTTAGTTTGACATTAAGGTCGTTCACACGGATATAAACGGTACTTAGGTTTTATTTAGTTCGCTGGCGTTTTTCTACTGCCAAAAATAACTCGATGCATTTGCAGAAATCTTCTAAAATTAGGACCTAAGTGAATTAGGGGCGGGTGGGGTACGAGTAAATTGTTTTCGGCTATTAGGTGTAGCGGGTGCGTGGTTTCTATTCTAATAGAAACGGGTGGTGGGGCGAGAGGTGGTGGTTAGGTCTAGATTTAGGGGGGGGGAGGTGGGAGAGAGGGGGGTGAGACTGCTAATGGTAGTGGAGGGGGATGATACATTACAGCCTTCTATTACTTGGGGTAGGGGGTGACACTTTACAGATTCCTATTGTTTGGGGGAGGGGGTGACACGTTACATATTCCTATAGTTTGGGGGAGGGGGTGACACGTTACATATTCCTATTGTTTGGGGGAGGGTGGCTGACACATAAAAATATAGAACAAAAAACCCAAATATCAAAAATCTATTTTCCATTTGTTTATAGGGGGGCCCTAAGCACGAAGTATAATTTATAACCAATGGCATAGAGTACGTTTCAGACGGTTGCCAATCAAATGGCACACAGTACGTTTCAGACGGTAGCCAATCAAATGACACACAATACGTTTCAGACTGTAGCCAATCAAATAACAGCTGCATACAGGTGACAACCAATCACGTGACAGGTGTTGACAGGTGAAAAGATCTTGTAAAAATGAAAACAATTGATGTGACGCGATGTGACATGGAGAGTCCGCTGACACGTGATGTGACATTCATCTCTTGACATGTGAGGGGGGGACACACAAAGAATGTCAGCGGCGACATTAGGAATGACAGCTGCAGCAAAAATAAATAACAAACGTCGACCAGCCGTGAGAAGATGTTTTGTCAAAATGTGGCGGGTTCTAGTCCTGCTTCAACTGAGACTATTGTCGCTCAGCCATAATGAGTACTGAGCTTTAACTGTTTCAACACAGTATTTAAAACACTTCCTCAACTTGCGGTCAAATACCTACGTCAAATAAATAAATACAACTGCTATAACTTAATTAGGTCATTAGATCTAAACTTAGTCTGAAAGCTTTATTCGTCACGGTTCAGTTAATTCCACTCAATTTAAGCTAAATGTAACCAATCAGGTTACATTTGTCACGTGATTTCCTACGAACCACGTGGGTTTTTAGTTCTCAATGCTGGTCTAGACACAAGAGCAGGTAACCCATAGAGTCAGATGGTACATGAAGGTAACAGGACGTGACGTCACTAGCGCTAGGTAAATGATAAAGTAGTATTACCTGACAGAAGGTCTGTGAACGTTCTAGAAGGTCGCCAAATGTCTTGATGTATACAGCATCGCTCCTGGAGAGAGAAACGTTGGGGCCAGTTTATATGGGTTGTACATGGGGTCACGCTTCAACACATATATTAACTGACCAACATACGTTATGACTGACCAACATACGTAATGAATGACCAACATACGTAATGACTGACCAACATGCGTAATAACTAACTAACATAAGTAATGACTGACCAACGTGCGGAATGACTGACCAACATACGTAATGACTGACCAACATACGTAATGACTGACAGGGGGGGGGTCATAACTAACACAGTAGAAGTCAGTAGTGGAAAACACACATCACTTAATTGACTGACCAACACAAATCAGGACTGACCAACACATCAGTTGTCGACGCACATCATTTAGCAACTGACGAATGCACATAACTAGTAAACTGACCAATATACGTCACTAATAAACTGACCAATATACGTCACTAATAAACTGACCGGTACCCGTCACTGGCAAACTTACTTCAGAATTACACAACAGACATCTAAATACGAACTACCCGCACATTGCTGAGCTGGCAGACTGAGCACATTCTTCAGACGCCAACCCCAAACCTGACACCCCCCCCCCTACCTCAACTCCATCATTTGACGAAACTTAAGCGATAAGCTAATCCAATTAGATCATGTTAAACTGGAGACGATCAATTCTCACGCGGAAACCGATGCTGTTATTTGATTGTTATTAATTGTATAAATCCTTCGACGAAGGGAAAAGCTTATTTAAAAAAAACCTATCGAATCACTTCCAGCCAAGTTTTTCATCAAATTCTTTGAATGAGCAAAAAACGTGACACTCCAGGATGAAATAAATCACAGGAAGAACAAGATCAATGCTGGTTCGGTCGGGGTGAAAACAAAACTCCGGAAAGATTTCTCATTTTTCTTCCTGAAATACATTTCAAGACTTGCAAGGCAGATGGGAATAAAACATCGCACCAACATAGATGTGTAAGTATTAATTAAAACATCGCACCAACATAGATGTGTAGGTATTAATTAAAACATCGCTCTAACATAGATGTGTAAGTATTAATTAAAACATCGCACCAACATAGATGTGTAAGTATTAATTAAAACATCGCACCAACATAGATGTGTAGGTATTAACTAAAACATCGCACCAACATAGATGTGTAAGTATTAATTAAAACATCGCACCAACATGGATGTGTAGGTATTAACTAAAACATCGCACCAACATAGATGTGTAAGTATTAATTAAAACATCGCTAAAACATAGATGTGTAAGTATTAACTTAAACATCGCCCCCAACATAGATGTGTAAATATTAATTAAAACATCGCTAAAACATAGATGTGTAAGTATTAACTTAAACATCGCCCCCAACATAGATGTGTATGTATTAATTAAAACATCGCACCAACATAGATGTGTAAGTATTAATTAAAACATCGCACCAACATAGATGTGTAAGTATTAATTAAAACATCGCACCAACATAGATGTGTAAGTATTAATTAAAACATCGCACCAACATGGATGTGTAAGTATTAATTAAAACATCGGTCCAACATAGATGTGTAAGTATTAATTAAAAACATCGCCGCCAACATGAAACCACTAAACTGTACAAAGGGACTATAGATTCCACATTTAGGCAGGATGCCTGTTGTTTAAATAGATATGCGTTACAAAGCCGCCTACACAATTTGTCTAAATTTGAGCAATGCTAGCCCTGTGGTATAGACCAGCACCACAAAAGATTTTACAGTAGGTCGCCACTAAAGATTTTACAGTAGGTCGCCACTAAAGATTGAACTGAAAATGGAGTTTGGCTTCAAAATATTTCTCCCCAATATGGGTACGCTTCAGACTTTGGACATGACGCCTCTGCCTGACCATCCCATGACGCCTCTGTCTGACCACCCCATGACGCCTCTGTCTGACCATCCCATGACGCCTCTATCTCACCATCCCATGACGCCGTGTGACCATCCCATAACGCATCTGTCTGACCATCCCATGACGCCTCTGTCTGACCATACCATGACGCCTGCCTGACCATCCCATGACGCCTCTGTCTGACCATCCCATGACGCATCTGTCTGACCATCCCATGACGCCTCTGTCTGACCATCCCATGACGCCTCTGTCTGACCATCCCATGACGCCTCTGTCTGAGCATCCCATGGCGACTCTGTCTGACCATCCCATGACGAATCTGTTTGACCATCTCATGACGAATCTGTTTGACCATCCCATGACGCATCTGTCTGACCATCCCATGACGCATCTGTCTGACCATCCCATGACGCATCTGACCATCCCATGACGCCTCTGTCTGACCATCCCATGATGCCTCTGTCTGACCATCTTATGACGCCACTGTCTGACCATCCCATGGCGCCTCTGTCTGACCATCCCATGACGCATCTGTCTGACCATCCCATGACGCATCTGTCTGACCATCCCATGACGCCACTGTCTGACCATCCCATGACGCCTGTCTGACCATCCCATGACGCCGTGTGACCATCTCATGACGCCGTGTGACCATCTAATGACGCATCTGTCTGACCATCCTATGACGCCACTGTCTGACCATCCCATGACGCATCTGTCTGACCATCCTATGACGCCGTGTGACCATCCTATGACGCCTCTGTCTGACCATCCCATGACGCATCTGTCTGACCATCCTATGACGCCACTGTCTGACCATCCCATGACGCCTCTGATTCTGTCTGACCATCCCATGACGCATCTGTCTGACCATCCCATGACGCCTATGTCTGACCATCCCATGACGCATCTGTCTGACCATCCTATGACGCCACTATCTGACCATCCCATGACGCCTCTGTCTGACCATCCCATGACGCATCTGTCTGACCATCCTATGACGCCACTGTCTGACCATCCCATGACGCATCTGTCTGACCATCCCATGACGCCTCTGACCATCCCATGACGCCTCTGACCATCCCATGGCGCCTCTGTCTGACCATCCCATGACGCCACTGTCTGACCATCCCATGATGCCTCTGTCTGACCATCTTATAACGCCACTGTCTGACCATCACATGACGCCGTGTGACCATCCCATGACGCCTCTGTCTGACCATCCCATGACGCCTCTGTCTGACCATCCCATGATGCCTCTGTCTGACCATCTTATGACGCCACTGTCTGACCACCCCATGACGCCACTGTCTGACCATCCCATGACGCCTCTGTCTGACCATCTTATGACGCATCTGTCACCAACACCTGCTGTTGTAACCTATGTCCAACACAAAGCCTAGTGACACGTGACACATTTGATTGACAAGCACTGGACACCCACACCAAAGTAAACATGTGAGTATGGTTCAACCTGACACGCTTTCAGAGAAAACACTTCAGCAACAGTACATCTAGACAACACTATAGACAACAGTACATCTAGACATTGTCTATACAAAAACCACCCAACTCTGTTTCGGCTAACAAGCGCCACTACAACATCTCATGCATAGCGAGCAACCTATTTGTTTACCAGTGCGACACATGTAAAAAAAATGAGGTACAACAAGAGACAGCAAAAATTACCCATCACCAGCCATAGCTAAAGTGCACGGAGAAATTGTCCAATCGTAGAGTTTGATCCTGAACACCGGACATGACGTGTCAGGAGGTCAGGTTTGTACCAAAAACTGACCACATGACGGACAGCGTAAACAAAGAGGCAATCAGGATTGTGATTGGCGCATATCTCCAGACACGAGGATGTTTCTGGAAGCGGAAGTCTGCGGAGAATCTTCAGACCGCCGTACGTGTTGTTTGTCTGGGACCGTGTTTTAGTTAATGACGGCCGGACTGATCTCTCTTGTTGGCGCACGGAATGGGTAGTCACGTCAACACGTGCACTCTAAATAATAGAAACATGGGGTAGCGCGCGGGCTGGGCGGAGCTTGTTTATTATAAGGGGAGGGGGTCAGTGGGGGTTCGATAGCTTACAAGCTAGATGGACCTAATTTACTACAGAGAGATGTTCAATGGACGCTTAGTAGCTCGCAAGCTAGACAGACCTAATTTAGTGCAGTAAGATGTTCAATGGACGCTTAGTAGCTTACAAGCTAGATGGACCTTATTTAGTACAGAGAGATATTCAATGGACGCTTAGTAGCTTACAAGCTAGATGGACCTAATTTAGTACAGAGAGATATTCAATGGACGCTTAGTAGCTTATAAGCTAGATGGACCTAATTTAGTACAGAGAGATGTTCAATGGACGCTTAGTAGCTTACAAGCTAGATAGACCTAATTTAGTACAGAGAGATGTTCAATGGGCGCTTAGTAGCTTACAAGCTAGATAGACCTAATCTAGATCTAGTACAGTAAGACGTTCAATAGATTTTCATTTGCAGGCTAAATGCTCAATGGACGTTCAATAGCTCGCATGCTGGACGGAACTACCTTAACCCATACAGGATTTCTTAAATCTACCCCGAACAATGTCGTTTTGATACTCTGCTGTAAAAATGTTTACAAAAAAAAAAGATACGATAATGATTCAATTTTAGATTTAAAATATTATTTGACATAATTTTCAGTGGAATGTGGTTCTTTGAATAAAATAAAGGAAAGAAATAATGTATTAAACATTTCGGTGCATTGAAAAAAATATGTCTATCATTGCATCGAGGTATGAGATAAATAATTTTTGGCATGCGTTACAAGAAAACTTAATCTAAAATGACAAACTCCAAAATTACGTGCGTAAAACATAGCCACGTTGAATAATACACACTGGGGAAACTTTGCACTCTGGAAAAATTGTAATGTTGGTCAATTTGGTCAATTTGGTCAATGTGGTCATGTCCGCCTTAAGTTCATGCCAGTGTTCTGCCGGTATCAAAACATAGCCCGTGTCGATCTCTCACCCGTATAAACCTTTTTTTTTCAAGTAGGCACATGGTTCTGAGCCCTATAAAATATCATGTCACGTGGCTCTGACCTCTATACAGCAAGCGGACAGAAAGACGTGTTTCGT